TGTCCAATAATGGAAGGCCAGATACTGAAGCTGAAGCTCAAATCCTTTGGCCCCCAAATGAGAAGGGAGCACTCACTGGAGAAGAAGACCCTGATGCTGGGAAAGATTAAAGGTCAAAGAAGAAGGGGACGGCAAAGGATGAGGTGGTCAGACAGTGTGATCGAGGCAACAAACATGAAACTGAGCAAACTCCGGAGGACAACGGAAAACAGGAAGGCCTGGCATGATGTGGTCCATGGGGTCACCACCAACAACAGATGCTGGACCACAAGGCCACAGTGCATAAGAACCCTTTCAGGCTTTGACAGGTGGAGGAGCAGGGGTCATTTCCTGCAGGATCGCACAGGAGCGGAGCACCGGCAGTAAAGATCCCAGGGGGCGGGCACATGCAACAAGCCCCACCCCCTGCTCCCAGCAGCCCTCAGTCAGAGCAAGAAGCAGCCAGGTAAACTGCAGAGCCCCCTGGCCCAAAACAGTCCAGTGGCGCCTTTAAGACCAAGTTTTATTCAGGTACAAGCTCTCCCTCCTTTGCGAGGACAGATCTGCACGTTCCCCCACCCCCCCAATAGCTAGCAATCCAAAACAGTCCAGTGGCACCTTTGAGACCAAGTTTTATTCAGGTACAAGCTCTCCCTCCTCTGTGAGGGCAGATCTGCACATTCCCCCCTCCAATAGCTAGCAATCCAAAACAGTCCAGTGGAGCCTGAGCGGTGGGTGTTGCCTTCTTACACACTTCCGGTGATGTCAGGGGGTGTGGCATATGCAAACGAGTTATGCTACTGAGCTCCTGCACCTCTTTTTCTACACAATGACCCCTGCAGAAGAGTAGCATCTGTGCTGCCCCAAGGAGCCCTCCACGACCCCACAGAGTCCTCCCACCTGATTCCCTACAGTTTGCCACTCGTGACCTCCCACCTGCCATTCTCATCGATGACTTCGAAGCCTCGCTCAGCACCCGGGTGCCAACACCACCGTCGGGCCACCCTGGCACCGGTGCCAAGCCCGACAACCTCCGCTTGAGAACCCATCTCACGAGTCGCGCATCCGGGGAGCGGGCGCCGTCCTCCTTGCCGCTTTTCTGTTCGGCAGCCCGGAACCCAGCGACAAGGATCTCGAAACAAGTGCCAGCCGCTGCTCCGCGGGGCTCCGTTTTATCTGTCGGCGGCAGCACCGCATCTCTGCTGGCGGATATCAACACTGCTGACCCCAGGGACCCCCGAGAGAGAGGCCGCTCCATTCAGCGCACTCTTTCACGGGCCAGCTCCTTTTCATTGCGGGCTGCCGTTTCGTAATCCACAGTAGTTCTTTGGAAGATAAGAAGGCTGGGAGGGGCCTTTCACCCTTTTCAGCTAAAACGATGAAGGTCTGAACTCCCAAAAGGAGAAGAAAAGAGAGAGAGAGAGAGAGCGTGAGCAGAGATAAAGGACACCAAGCTCGCATGGCGTAATTTCCTTCTTCCCATTCTTTCAGGGTCCACGATACCAAATAGGGTCTTTCCAGCAAGAATGGATGTTTCATATTGCTGGTGGGCTTCACAGAAAAGGGGCAGGCAGAGGGTTCCGGGCAGGCGCCCGCAACCGCCCTGCTTTTTGCCAGTGCTCCCGGCAGTCTGGGGAATGCAACGGTTCTCCAGCCGCTGCGGGGCACGACCCCAAAAGTTGTGTCCCACCTCTCTCATAGCCGGGTCCCGAGTCTAAAAAAACCTCTACTTGGAGGTGAGGTTCTGGCCTCCCTTCCTCCCAGCAGGGTGAAAAGAGAGACTGTTGTCGGTCCTGGAGCCCGATCCATTCCCAGGGGGTTAGCTTGTTCCCAGTCAGGTGTGGGGCACTGGCTGCAGCCTTTACTCATTGTCCCCTGGGACCAGGGGCGGATTGAGGCTCACTGGTGCCCTCAGCACTGACCAATCTTGGTACCCCCCCTCCTTTCCACACTGAGCCAGTCCCTTTTAGTTGTTGACCTGTCTGACCAGATCTACAATGCAGGTTGCAGCAGTACAAAAATTTATTCATATGATAATACAATATACTGTACAAACTAAGCCAATGACACTGCACCTCGCCAGCAATAAACAGAAGATAACCCTAGGGTGCACCATGATCAATTTGCACTCGTTTTCTCAATTTTATCAATTTTTTTTAGAAATCTTCATTGTTTTTTTTTTCTTTCCCCCCCTTTTCCCAACTTTGTGGTGCCCCCTTTGGCCCTGGTGCCCTAAGCATGTGCTTAGTCTGCTTAATGGTTAATCCGGCCATGCCTGGGACCCACAGTGCAGGTGGCCAAAGACCTGTCACCCCGGGTCCAAGCCGAGGCCTAGATTATGGAGCCACAGGGGCGGCTCCCAAAAGGGAGAGTAAGCTTCGTGATTGGGACTCGCATCAAACATTTGAAGATCACCAGCCTAACAGTTTAGTTGACTTGCATTGTTAATGGTCAGTGCAAAAGAGGAGACACCTGTGGGTTTTTCAATGTTGTTTCTGGTGAATTTTGGTGTAGTGCTTAAGTGCGCAGTATGGTGTAGTGGTTAAGTGCGCAGACTCTAATCTGGGAGAACTGGGTTTGATTCACCACATGACCCCAGGGTGGGGTATAAATCCAGTCTCCTCCTCCTCCTCCTCCTCTTCTTTTATTTATTTATTTATTTATTTTTCACATTTATACCCCGCCCTCCCCAATGGGCTCAGGGCGGCTTACAGAGGCAAGGGAAAACCTTGCCATAATAAAACATAATATACATAAGAATTTAAAAACATATAATACATCTTAAGGTCCTAAATTAAAACAAGGTGCTCAATGACGTCCATAATCCAGAGATGACGGATCGTAGGTCCGAAGTTCCAAGTGGACGGCTTAGGGCTTCTTCCATTCAGATGTTTCATCAGGGCCTCGTCCAACCCATGGCGGTGGTAGTATAGTAGGGGCGGCGGCTCCTTCTCAAAAGCCTGACGGAAGAGCTCCGTCTTGCAGGCCCTGCGAAACTGCATAAGATCCTGCAGGGCCCGGATCTCCTCTGGGAGCTCATTCCACCAGGTAGGAGCCGCCACCGAAAAAGCCCGGGCCCTCGTAGCAGCCAGCTTGGTATCCTT